TTTGAATATTTGAGACTTTGCCTCTAATTGAACTTTAATTCCTAAATTTTCTTTGCATAAATATCATATAGTTGCATTTTTGCATTGGGATTTTGTGGGTAGATCCGCTGCAAACCCTCACGAGACACAACTCGTCCACTAAGGTGATCTAGGGGTTTAAAGGCTTGTTGCACATGCTAAGCGCAATTGTGATTCCTACAAAAGTGAGTTAGGTTTTATTTTGTTTCTTTTATCTTTTTATTTTACTCGAGGACGAGTAAAACTTAAGTTTGGGGGAATTTGATGAGCTAAATTTATATACATATTAATAGAGAATTTTTACTGATATTTGGATGAGTTTTATAGGATTTTGTTTGATTTTATATGGTTTTCATTCTTTGTGTAGGAAATGATTTAATTGAAAGAAATCCTATTTTTTAGAAGTAAATTAAAGAGATCAGAGACTTGAGGATCAACTTGTGCAGAATCCAGAAGTTAGAACCAAATCTGCTATTTTACCATTAAAGAAATTGCAAAAGGAGACCAGAAACCCGACACGGGTATAGTGTCAACACATTATTGGAGTGTCGACACCATGCGCTAAACGTCCAGAATCAGATTCTGTTTCTTATTTTGTGTCAACACGTAATTCGAAGTGTCAGTACCACGTGATTAGCATCTAAAATTCAGTTTCCTATTTCTATTCCAAGTCCTACTTCTATTTCAATTAGGGTTTCTAAAATCCTATAAATATCCATCCAAATTCAGAATTAAGGAGAGCTTTGGGGAGGCTTGTGGCGGCCTTCTTTTGGGCATTCTTGGAGGTCAAGATAGAGGATTCAACAATAGGAGATCAAGGATTGCAATTTTCTCAAATTAGGTTTTATTCTTCCTTGTTCATAACCATGATTGTAGATTTTATTATTTTTATTATAAACTGATTTATTATACTAGGGCTACGATGTAGCCTAATCAATTTAATATGGATTTTGTGATTTTATTCTTTCAATTAAAGTTATTCGCGTGAGGAGTTTATATTATTGAACTTCATGCATTGGAAGCCTGATCATCTTTCAATTGATTTAGTGATTTATGCATGAACTTGAGAAAGAATTGCGTAGATTAGACCAATAATAATATAAATCGTGTGCTGGACTATGAGACCGAGAGGTAATTAGCTCACATGTGGCAGTGGAGGAAGAGAAGAGAGTTAGTAGCTCCCCCTTCTTAAGCTAGAGGTTTCCATAGAATTTAACGCTCATTAGTTGGTTTAAAATTACATAGAGATATGATTAATTTAACAAACTAGTGAAGGATTAACTTGACTTGAGAAAGCTAGTTAATTAATTTAGAGAAATCCGCCATCACATGTAATAACACTTAACAATTTAGTAATCCAGAATTTATATTGATTGATTATGGTGAAGTCAATGCCTTAGTATCTCATATCTTGGTTAGGTTTAATTTAATTGTTATTTTCCTTTTATTATCTTTTTAGTTAAACTTTCTTCCCATTTGGTTGTTCAAATAAATTTGGATTAATTATTTTGGTACTTAGTTAGACACAATCCTCATGGGTTCGACACTCTTCTCATCATTATATTACTTGGAACGACTAGTACACTTGCTAGGGTGATTTTAGTGAATCACTAAACAATTATATCAATCAAAATTCACTATTTCTTATCCATTACTTGTTCTCTAGTATCTATCACTTATTATTTACTATCTACCATACTAGCTACTCCCACTATCTGTAGTACGTAATCTACCACTTACTATCCACTAAATTTTAATTACTATACCAATTTTTAATCACTATACCAAATTTTAATTACTATACCTAACATACCTAACAACCTCTAAACTCTTGGTATGTAAAAATCACATTAAATCTAACTAATTCAAAATCAAATTAAGTTATTTAAAAACCATATTAAAAAATCTTACTAATTCAAAATCAAGTTAAGTTAGATTCTACAAAACTTATATTTTTATTTATAAAATTCGAACTATGATTTTACTGAAGAGAACATGAGTTAACTAACAAATCATTGATATAAACCTAATTTATTGCTACTTGTAAGTGCTCCTGTAAAATTTGGATGAAACGCTGCAAGCCGGTGGTATGTTTCCTTTGTATGCCCAGAGTCAATTAATGATTTATATTTGCAGTGTGTGTTGGATTTATTATGTAAAATAAGGAGGTGAGGTCCCCTATTTATTGTATAGTTCTGTGGGCTATTGTTTTTTTTCTTTTGACAAGAGCAATTGTTAGTATGTTAGATTAGTTGATTGTTAGAAACTATAGATTCGATCTCCAGATGAGAGTGAACGCTACCCCTCCTCGTTTAGGAGCATGAACCAATGAATCGTATGGTGGAGTTCATGCTCTGGGCTATTTGGTTGGAAAGGAAAAATATTTGTTTGAAGGGGGTCAGCGCAATGAAGAAAGATTGTTTGAGTTTATGCAGAGATTAAGTCTTTTATCTGGATCAAAGGAAAAACGGAGGGCTTAGCTTTTACTTTAAAGTGATTGGATTCAATTTCTTTATTCTATGCTGTGAGAAAAATTGAAGTTGAAACGTGCAGGAGATTTGTGGGAATGTAAAGTTTGATGAAAAGGTTAAGGTATCTCTAATACCAAAATAATAAAAAAAAACTTTTATTTACTGATAAAATTAAAGAAAAATAAACAGAAACAATCAATAGATCAAGAATGAACTCAAATATATAACTACCTCTAACCTCAGAATATATGAGTCTTTCTTAGAGGCTGCTAAGTGTCAGAGAATAAGTCGATCTAAAGAGGAATATATAAGCAGAACCCATTGTTAAGCCCATTAAACTTCTCCCGTATTTTTGTGTAGTCCCCTAAAATAACTTTTAAGCAGATACCTCTTAAATTGCCTGATGGTAAATTAGCCCCTTAAATATAACGGCTACCGTTTATCTCCGTTAATATAGCGGGTGAGTCATGCAGGTGCCGTTAGTTTCTCTTGACGTGGCTCTTAAAAAACAGATTAATATC